TGTACATGCCAATTAAATGCTTAGACTTTTTTAAGAAAAATTAAGTATTTATAAAATATTTTAAATTTTTTTACGGAAAATTTAGAAGGGTTCTCAATGTGCGCCTGTAATTATAATGAATACTATGCTAATCTCATTATTTCTAATAAAGTGTGCATACCTCAACGTGAGATATGCAGCAAATAAGTTCAGTACTTCTGTAACAGAAATCGCTACACTCATCGGTAAAGATATATGTTGAAGTTTATATGGTATTTATACAACGAATAATAATCCGGAATTGGTCAGTTTATAAAATGAGTTATAATTATATCTTAATCTATTTATTCTGATTAAAAAGAAATTACACAGAAATAAAAGGATATGTAGTTTAACGTAAAGTTGTGTTAGTGAATGTTAAGCTATTTAATTATACAGACTTATGAGGCATATAATATATGAACAAACTGAACTGACTATGTAGAAACAAACTATATACAAATATAGTTTTTAATGCAACAACACTAGAAATAATGTACTCTAGGTGGAGTACCATAACACCATCTAAAGGTGTATGGTCGATAGCTTGCCTTATTAACAAAGCAAGACATTCACTGAGTGAGCATTTTATGTATTTCTACTGAATCCTACTGGATTCGTATCGTATTATCTGTAATGAAGGCATATTAGGTCAGTAGGGCCACTAATCAAATTATCAGGCTTATAATCTGTAATGAAGGCATATTAGGTCAGTAGGGCTACTAATCAAATTATCAGGCTTCGTTATTAAGACTTAAGACGAATGACAAATATCTGCATTATTTCTTCACTTCTTATCAGTTTTAAGTAAGTTAAAGCATACTTTTTAATAAAAACTTTCTATATATAAAGTTGAATGAAAGTATTTTATTGTTTATTTAGCAATTTGTAATTTAATTGCAATTGTTTTGCATATGTAATTGATTATATATATAATTAACCGGAAAATAAATGAATATTTCAATGTATCAATATTAGCAAAATAAACAAAGTATTTATACAAAACAAAGATACAATTTAATTAATGCAATAAATCATTAATCCCCCAGGTTAGAAAATAATTTCATTATAAAATCTTTGCACAATTTGAATTGTATTTGTATTTTCTACGATAAATGAAAATTAGTTTAGTATATGCAATTTAGGTATGTACTTTTTGCAATAATTTATTTTGTAGATATAATCACCGTATACAAGTACTTGATCCTCAAGGACGTTTCCTGCGCGCATTTGGCTCACAGGGCACTGCAGATGGCAAATTCAATTATCCTTGGGGCGTTACAACTGACGCACTCGGTTTCATTTATGTGTGTGATAAGGAAAACCACAGAGTACAGGTGGGTTAAAAATTTTTTTCCGTACTTCATGAGTATCTGCATAACTTTAAAATAAATGCACTGCCATAATTTTATATTCATAAATTATCATAATTTTAATAGCAAGCTTCAACATATGTGGTATGGTTGAAAAATATTTTAAGCATATTTTTCATTCGAATAAAATATTTGCAGTTAAATACAAAGTAAATACATGAAAGATACACTTTTATTGAAATAACGATTTATGCATTTATATGCAGATGTCTCTAAACTTTATGCAAATATTTACATTTTAATATTTGGCTTAATATTTTATATGAAATTCAATGTATTTTAATAAAGCTTAACATAAATTTATTTTACATTCATAGCAACGATAAATATAATTTTAATTTTAATTTGAATTTTAATTTAAATTTTAATTTGAATTTTATACTCTTGTAAATTTTTCACTATATTAATTCCAATGTAATTCCTTTGATTGTTTAATGCCTTGTTCTGTGCATTTATTTGAGATTCTTTTATTTGTAGGTTTTCCAATCGGATGGATCCTTTGTTGGTAAATTTGGTTCATGCGGTCGCGGCGAAGGACAACTCGAACATCCACACTACATTGCTGTCTCGAATACGAATCGCGTTATTGTGTCGGATTCGAACAATCATAGAATTCAGGTAATTTTTTGCATCATTTCAGTATTTTGCATTCATTGCCATTTAAGCTCACAGCTATCCGCTTTTTTTTTATAACAATCAATATATTTTTTTAATAATTTTTAACTCTCAAAATGTTAACATAAACGTGTTCAATATGGTCCATGTACATTTTTATATTTATTTTACAGATTTTTGATGTCAATGGTAAAGTGGTAACAACATTTGGTGGTGAAGGTTCAGATGATGGTCAATTTAAATTTCCAAGGTAGAGTATATTACCTGCAGAATCCTTTGATATATTTATGTTAATATATAAAAGACAGAATTATCTTGAAAAGGAAAAGATGAATTTATTTTCAAATATAAATGATTGTGAAGCATATTACTTTCTGATGTTTACTCATTAATTCATTTATCGGAAGAGTTCTAAGAAACAGTATGAAATTTTCATAAAAACTGAAAAATTAATTAATATTTTAATACATCGGCTAAAAAGTCTGAAGACTAAATTATCAAAATATACTTTTTCTTTGCAAAATATAACTCTACTTATTAATACAGTTTCCTTCAAGAGCACTACAGTCTCTCTAGTGCTTCTATAACATTTCATTACATCTGTTGTAGAAACAATTATCTTTGGTCTCAAAGTAGTCGTTTGTTTCAGGTATGACTCCTTCATTGGAATTAAGATCTTAAGAACTGCTAGTAGGCGCTGGGCCCAAATTTTGCAAATGTGTTGGATGCAAAAGCAATACAAAACGGGCTTCGTGCAATTTTGCCATTATAACCCATTGTAACGAAACAGATCTTGACGAAATAGCATCTCTTCTTTCTTCATTTGGGCCTGTAAGAGTAGTGAAGTAGTGAATCCATGTTTTATCCATTGCTATATATAGATGCAAAAAGTTCGTTTTATTTTATACTAAGAGTATTTAAAACAGTCCTTTAGATCGTCGACGATTGTGAGTGAACGTTACATCCTCTTGGAGAGTAATTTTCACATGAACAAATGATTTTTTGGACATTTTTAAAATTAGTAACCGCCCTACTTAGTCGACCACAGTCTGAGTATCATTATTATTGTTCTTACAGTCATAAACCAACGTTCAATGGTTACTTTCGATCGCGCAGAGTTCAGATAACATAAGGCATATAACTTCTCTTGCACTGTATTTTTTTCCCTTTATTTTTCCAAAGTAATGATTAACAACAAAATTGATTTGAATCCATTGTTTTATAATTAATAAGAGCAGTAGAACTATCATCTAAATTAAACTTCAAGTTGTAATAAAATTTTAATTCTATATTTTAAAGGAAAGCTCCTTCTGAATGCATTTTTGCGATAGAGTCGAACTTCGGACATTTCAGCCAATTAATAATTAATATACTATTAATATATATATATATATATATACTAAATTCGAACAAAATTGATATCTGTAATAAAATCCTATTTTAACTTTTCATTTTTATCTTTACAGAGGTGTTGCAGTGGATGAGCAAGGATATATATTTGTTGCGGATTCCGGCAATAATCGTATACAAATCTTCAACCCTGATGGTAGTTTTCTTAAAACATTTGGTTCTTGGGGTTCTGGAGATTCAGAATTTAAAGGTTTGGAAGGAGTTGCCATTATGTCAAATGGTAACATTTTAGTCTGCGATCGTGAAAATCATCGTGTGCAAGTTTTTTAATAAAAATTCTGACTCAGCAATTCTTAATAAAAATATTTTTTTACATTAAATTGATTTTAATTAAAAAATCTACATCTAATTGAATATTATAGATGTGAAGAGAAATACAAGAGTCCTTTTAAAATTTGTTTTGATATTGTATAATCATTTGGACTTCTTAATTATGTATGTATGATTCAGTTACCTATTAAATATTTATTAAATTATTGTTGATTTTGTATGAATTTGGAATAAAATAATTAAAAACTAAATTTTTTATAAGTTGAGACTTAGTCATCAAAAGAAAAATTAATAAAAAATTTATTTTAATACAAAGGAAATTTTAGTGTGAACCCGATTTTTGTTATATAAAATTAATAAATATTTAATGAAAGCAAGCAAGCTTGCAAAAGAAAAAAATTGTTTTTAATTTTTATTAATTAAATCATCAGTGTTCTTTGAAGTTACTCTGCCGAGATAAGAAGCAATCCAATTCAATGGACAAATAATTAAAATTAATCTCATTGTTTTGACTTTTTCAACTCTAAATTACATTGCAGTTGAGTTCAATATAAATACCACCAATACCTTTTGTTAAATATATACCTATAGCGGTAAGGGTGTTCTAAATAACTGTTGGTCAAGTTGGTTGTTATAAATAATTGATTGTATGATGTATGGTATATGTTACCAATATAAAAATTTATCTAACAGTTTATAACTGTAATTATCCTAAACTATACTTAAACATTTTTTATTGCTGTAACAATACAAAGGGATGCATATATAAATAAATATGTTCCAAGCAATATTTATATCAGGTTATATCTCATATAATTGTACTTATTGGCAAATTCAATCTCTACTTAAACAACAAAAACACATAATTTTTACAAAAAATATCTGAGACCAAAAATATTTTTATTTCCTTTTTTTACATATTGATTTTATAGTACATTTTGTTGTACTTTGTAAAAATTTTAATAATTTTTTACTAGCGAAATATATTTTTGGTTTCGTCTAATGTAAATAATCGATCTATCAAATATATCTATGTCCTCAGTGAACAATCTGCATGTGTACTTTATTCATTGTCATCATCTTCAAACTCGCCTTCTTCATCAGCTGTAGCCTCTTGATATTGTTGATATTCATTCATAACATCACTTACGTTTTTTTCGGCTTCTGTGAACTCCATTTCATCCATACCCTCCGCTGTGTACCAATGCAAAAATGCCTTACGTCTAAACATTGAAGTGAATTGTTCCGACACTCGTCGGAATATTTCCTGTATAGCTGTGGTGTTCCCTAAGAAGGTAGCTGACATTTTAAGCCCTCGTGGTGGTATGTCACAGACAGCTGTTTTAACATTATGCGGTATCCAATCGGCAAAGTATGGACTGTTTTTGTTTTGTATATTCAACATCTGCTCATCAACTTCTTTCATTGACATACGACCTCGAAAGATGGCTGCTACTGTTAAGTAACGCCCATGACGTGGATCGCATGCAGTCATCATGTTCTTAGCATCAAACATCTGTAATGTTAGTTCTGGTACTGTCAGTGCCCGATAGCACATTGAACCACGAGACGTTAGTGGCACAAAACCGGGTACAAAAAAGTGTAAGCGTGGAAATGGAACCATATTCACAGCAAGTTTCCGTAAATCGGCATTCAATTGACCGGGGAAACGTAAGCAAGTTGTAATACCAGACATGGTAGCAGATACAAGATGATTTAAATCGCCATAGGTGGGAGTAGTTAGTTTTAAAGTTCTGTAGCAAATATCATACAAAGCTTCATTATCGATGCAAACGGTTTCGTCGGTAAATTCAATGAGTTCACTTAATGCTAATGTGCAGTTGTAAGGCTCAACAACAGTATCAGAGACTTTTGGGGATGGAAATATTGAAAATGTTAATTGGATACGGTCAGTGAATTCTTCCTTTAATCGGGCTATCAGCAAAGTACCCAGTCCAGAACCGGTGCCACCGCCAAGTGAATGTACATATTGGAAGCCCTACAAATATTGAATAAAAGTTAAGATAGATATTGTTGTAGGAGAAAAATGCATATATTTATACATACACGCAGAAAACATACTTAAAGCATTGGGCTTTCTTAAAAAAATTTCATATGTTTGGGAAAAATGTTAAACTTATTACTAATGTATCCTATTAATGATAATAACTTAAAAATTACAGAAATTCATATATCAGTATCAGTCGCAGCAACATTGCCATTGAAACTATTATTCTAATAATTGGCATTTTTTTTATCCGGTTTTATTAAATGTGACTAAACTCTGTTTACTTACTTGTAAACAATCGCAGCCTTCTGCTTCTCGTCTTACTATATCCAACACTGATTCCAATAGTTCAGCACCTTCAGTGTAATGTCCCTTAGCCCAATTGTTACCAGCTCCACTTTGCCCAAATATGAAATTATCAGGCCGAAAAATTTGACCAAAGCAACCGGAACGTATAGAATCCATTGTACCGGGCTCAAGATCAACAAGTACGGCTCGAGGCACATATTTAGCTCCATTGGCTTCATTGTAGTAGACATTGATTCGCTCCAATTGTAGATCACTATCACCATAGTAGCAGCCTTTGCAATCAATGCAATGTTCATCGGAAATAACTTCCCAAAATTTTGCTCCAATTTGGTTACCACATTGGCCGCATTGTAGATGTACGATTTCACGCATTTTAAAATTTTTTTATTTTTGGGATTTTTTTTAAATTTTTTTTAGAATTTTATTATTTTTAAATTTTTTGCAAAAAATATATAGCAAATTGCAAATTTATTTTTCCAATATAATTTTACTTCCGCATAAAATTAGAAACAAAATATCCGGAAAAAAAATTTATATGATTATTGAAAAAATTTCTTTCAGCTTTATAGTTTTTAAAACAAAATTCTTGGAATAATTGATTGATTTATATATATATATGTAAAATTATTTAATAACTTTTGTTTTTATTTATTTTATGGATCGGTTTTTTATTATCACTTAAAAAATTCGTCAGATGTTTGTTTTATAATATGATGTCCAGATCTTTAGTAACCAATTAGCTGATTAAAGCTCCGTTATCCTCGTGGGCTTATATCCACCTCAGTGATATGCCCTCAGCAAATCGCCAGTGTATTGAAACATATCCAACCGGGTGTATTAAATTACTGACTAATTTACATTGTGACCGAAAAGTTTTCGGAAATTCTCATTTAAAATTCGCGCGCTGTATATTTTTCGATATTTTAAGTTTATGTAGTTTGGCAGCACTGTCCTTAATTACTATGCCAAAAATGAGCGCGATCTGTCAGACAGTTCGTTTACGGCAGCTGTTGAAACCAGTTCACCTCAGTAGGGCGTTGCGAAAAAAACAATGGAAAAAAATATTGAACAAAGAGTTTGCATCAAATTTTGTGTTTCGAACGAAATTTCGTGTGCAGAATCGTTGCGAATGCTACAAAAGGCTTATGGGGAATCAGTTTTATCGAAAACTCAAGTTTATGAGTGGTACAAAGCCTTCCAGGACGGTCGTACGACCGTCGAAGACATTTCGCAACGCACTACTGAGGTGAACTGGTTTCAACAGCTGCCGTAAACGAACTGTCTGACAGATCGAGCTCATTTTTGGCATAGTAATTAAGGACAGTGCTGCCAAACTACATAAACTTAAAATATCGAAAAATATACAGCGCGCGAATTTTAAATGAGAATT